CTATCGAGATCGAGACCGGGTCGAAATACAGTGAACCCAACTCCAAAACAATAATATACGATTGACAGCATATAATCAATATCTTTCACAACTATTTACCGATTATTTGATCACAATCATAGCAAGTATTATATTGTTACTATAGATATTAATCTGATAAAAAAAACAACAATTGAATAATACAATATGTATACACTGCGAGTGATCAACTGGTATAAATACACAACGTGAAGAAATGAATTTCGTATACTATTCTTGAATTCTCCTTCAATCAAATCACCCGTAATTTAAATTATATACAATGATTTTTTTTATGAACACAATTTCGCAAAGGGGAGGTACTCTTACTTGCTTTACTTATTACAATTTTGTACACTGTCTCCGAAATACCCAGGAGCAGAGAAAATGCACCTTTACTTATAATTAGATATATATATTTACATTTTTATTACTGCATGTTATTTGTGCAATATATTAATGCAATTTTATAAATGTTCTTTTTTCTGTCAATGAAATAGTTAATTTCAATATTGCAACAAAAATTTCCGACATCAAAGTTGCATCTCATATTGCTTTGACAAATTATGAGTTATTGTAAGGTAAAGCCATGGAGATCAGAATTTAGTTGGCAGGAGACTGCATTAAGACGTTTATACTTTACCAAGTGAATAAATAATCACAGAGAGACAGGGCGACTAGGAAAATGTTGTACTCTGACAAGTGGCGAATAGCCACGTTGTATAGCCAAGTCTCCCTTTGTGTACTTAATTGTAGCACTAGGCAAGTGCTAAAAACATATCTGTATACATGTATATTGAATACCTTACACACTAGGCAAGTGTCCATTGTTTATGTTCGTGTGTTTGTTGTTTTGTCCCTTTAGAGAATTGTTGCACTCATATGGAGACGCCACAACATGCCGGTGGAGGGGTGCCAATTAATACCTATTCTCGGCACTCAGGGCCATTGATCAGTGAGGGATCTTTTTTGTGCCAACACGTACTGCAACACTAGACCTCGATTTATATGGTCTCATCCGAAGGACCAGTCTCTTTGTCCCGCAGTGGATTCGTCCATTGTATTTGTATATTTTGCATGTATTATCATTCCAGTAAGACTTAGGAAAACCAAGTATGATCCAAAGGAGATCATTTGGGTCTCACACGTTATATTAAGGAAGGGATTTCTGAAATGTTTGGTCAACATAGCTCCATTTTATCAATTAATTTTGTTTTATACTACTTGTATGGATCCTTTACAGTGTTGTATTATACATAGATACTCCTTGGGCATCTTGTTAAAACGAGGCAAGCTATTAAGTAACAAGTTGATGAAACAAGGATATCAAGTCTCGTTTGAAGTCATCATATCTCAATTTGAAGTCATCATATCTCAATTGTTATGGTCGATACAATGACATTATCAGCAAATACAATCTATCATTAGGTTTAATGCCGACTTGATTTTTTTTTTCATACTAATTGTAAGGCCATTATTTCTACGGATTTTTCCATTTACCCGATCTTGACAAGGAGTACACGCGCAGCTCTGTTAAGGTTGCATAAAGGGGGCCGGGCCTAAATTATACGGAAAATGCTTACTGTGACATCACACAGAAATAGCAATTCCTCACAATAACAGAAAATGAAATAATTTGCGATTTTAAACTGCATAAGAATAATAAACTACATCAAAACTTACCATTGCATTCATTTTTATCGCTAGTTAAATCCCACACAACAAGATATAAACAAGTCAATGATCGCAATGCACTTGTCGACATGACGTCATCATGGTAAAATTTGACGCATTTTATGTGCAGAGAGAGGGGGATCAAGTTATTTTTTTTTCAAAGTGAAAAATGCGTTTTATCATTAAACAGAATATTATTTACAAATGTTAGTTTAGGCCATTAATACAAATCTGAAACCTTTGTTTAGTGCCATCATTTAAACACTATATATATATATATATATATATATATATATATATATATATATATATATATATATATATATATAATAGCTTCACAAAAATAAATTCAGTTTAAAAATGTATATATACACGTTCATATTCCATTGATTTCTTCATAGTTCGCCTTAACAGAGCTGCGCGGCGGTTGAAGCCAGTCGACAGGGGATGCTTACTCCTCCATGGCACCTGATCCCGCCTCTAATTTTTGGAGGCCCATGTTTGACTGCTCATGATCTGTATTGTTTAAATAGACTATGAGCCTGAATGCTATTCGTTCTGTCCCTATTTCATGATTTTAAAATATTCGTTGATTTTGATAAATGACCACAAAGTCTCCGGGTTATAATGATATAAATATATCTAAAAGTTAAAAAATTCAGATAACTTGTTTTAAGAATTTGCCTTGGGGCTGGTGGTGAAACAATACTACCGTTTGCAGTCATTTAACATTATAAATAGCAAACAATGGCAAACACGAACCTTAAAACACTAGAGGTGGGATGGGATACCATGGAGATGTAAGCATTCCCTGACGACCGACCACACCCGCCAATAAAAACAGAGTTTTTAATTTGTATATACATGTATAAAAAAAATCCAAGGAACTTTTGGAACATTTGAAATCGCAAAATTTTACCAAAATCAACAACATAAAAACTTAGGACTTTCCAACTTTATATACATCTATTCCCCACGATAAATTAAAGTCCAGACTTTCTGACATTGTTGACAGCTGCTTTTTCAATAAAAATGAAACTCGTAAATTTACTTACCTTGTCATTGGTCATTTGCAAAATTACTTTGTTATAAAACAATCTGATTGTACACACAAGTACTCTGAGGTTAACATTAAAAAGATCCTCGAATTTCTGCTTGACAGTATCTATGTGGTTTTTGGAGAACAGGTCTTCCAACAAACTATTGGAATTCCCATGGGTACAAATTGCGCCCCGCTATTAGCAGACCTATTTTTGTATTCATATGAAGCAGAATTTGTCCATTCAACATTGACTTCAACTCGATATTTAGATATATCGACGACATATTGTCAATTAACAATGGCTATTTCCATTCTTATGTCGATACGATATATCCCGGTGAGCTTGAGATAAAAGGTACCACAGAGACTGACACATATGTTTCATATTAGGATATTTTATTAGAAAAAGACGTTAAAGGTAATCTAACAACAAAACTTTATGACAAACGTGATGACTTTAACTTTTCAATCGTCAACTTCCCTTACTTGTAGAGCAATATACCATTATCACCTGCATACGGGGTTTATATCTCTCAGTTGATTCGATACGCAAGAGCATGCTCACGTATGAACAATTTCTAAAACGAGGTAACTTATTGACAAACAAGTTGATGAAACAAGAATATCAGCAGTCTCGTTTAAAGTCATCATTTCGCAAGTTCTATGGTCGATACAATGACCTTGTCAGCAAACACCATCTTTCATTAAGTCAAATGCTGACTGACTTTTTTCATACTAATTGTTAGGCCATTATTTACATACTGATTTGTCGACGTTTGTCCGTTATTTCCCGATCATGACAAGGAGCACAAGGCGGGTGTGACCGATCGGGAGGGGATGATCATTCCTCCATGGCACCTGATCCTACCTCTGATGTCTTGGAGGTCCGTGTTTGCTATACTATTTTGTAATGTTGAATGGACTTTTGAGCTTGAATACTATTCGTTATCTCCACATATTTTATTTATAAAAATTAAAACTGCGCCTACAAATCACATTTTTTTAAACTAGGAATTTCCTTTGCTTTGTGGGAATTTTTTCATATTCTTACAAATGCTTCAAGTCGGATTATTTTCTAAAACGGCCAGGGAAAACCAAATTTTGAAATATGCTTGTAAACAGGATGTTACATATTTTGAAATGACAACTAGCCGTGGAACACGCATTAATTAAATGTACTGAAAAAAAATAAGACGTAATTCGAAAACATGCTAAAAAAGGTGTTTAGAATTAAATAATAATAGCACGTCAATAAGTTATACTTTCGGTAAACAAACCGTACTTAGCTTGTGTTATACATTGTCATTATTTTTAAAATATTTCTTTCTCGAAGCGATTCATTGATACATGATACAAAATATTTACATTTTCCACTCTCTTTATTTATGTATAAATGTAAAAAAAAATATTTATTTCATAAATCCATGTACAATATTTAAACATAAAGCCTTGGACAATATTTAAAAGTATTAACTACTTACTATTTGTATATTAAAAGAATGCTACTTTTTTTTTAATAGATTTGTTCCGTTTACGAAGAAACCAAGTTTACGTATGAAAATAAATAATAAAATAAATATATCCTTTTAATTCAGTACAATTCCTTTGTTATATTGACCTTAAGGAAAGAATATGGACTTCGCATTTCTCGTTTTGTCGATATGTTTTCTCATAAGTCTATATATATATGTATATATATATATATATATATATATATATATATATATATATATATATATATATATATATATATATATATAGGGATTGACCTCATCAAAAGTCTATGTATATTTATATAATATTCATTACATAAAGCCATTGAGAATTGAAAAGCACTGTTGCTAACTTGTGTAATGATGCATTTTGTAAATAAAAAAATAATGGATGCTAGTTACTAATAGTTTTGTTTATTCTACGAGAAAATTACACGTTCATAAATTTACATAGTAAATATTTCCCTCTCGTGCCACCCTTATCTCTTCAGAGTAAAATTTATTAAAATATGTATTTCCTGACGCAATTTTTATTTCTTAAAAAAAATATTTGGAAAAACTCCTGAATTTAATCATGCATGAAACATGCACGTGAGTTATTTCATCCTTTTTGTTTCTTTTTTTTTTCTGTTTTCTTGTTTGACACCGACTTTCAATGCTAATTGTGCAAAACTTATGTAATCACAAACATCTACAGCTAATTTAAAATGTAAATAAGGTTGCACTTTTCATGCGTCAGGTAAACAGTATATATATTTAAGGGACCACGGCACTAAATCTAACTGTACGTAAGCAAAGCAGCACGACTATGAAGTTATTGGCATTCCTACTTATTTTGGTGATAATCGTCGCCTTATTGGCAATGGTGCAAGCAGGTAATGTTAATCTAACCTTTTTTTCTAACCAGAACTAATGTATGATGAAACTGCATTACTTGAAATGGAAAAACCTTGTGTGCATTTGCAGTTTTCCATCCCTACATGATTTATGTGCATTTTCAACAAGAACAACATACTTATCTTTCATATGCAATTTATAGCACCGTTCGCGGTAGCCACGTTACATGATAAAGAACCCACTGCTCAATAGCCCGGAGTACCGAGCCGGTTAAATGTCTCAGTTTGAAGTTTGGTAACGTCTCATTTGCGTAAAATAAACGAACAATTAAATAATCATTTAATGCTATTTGTTTAAACTTCGTTAAACCGAAGAACTAGCAATCTGATTATATAAGAGATCATTTTTGCGTAACTAAAATGTGTTTATAATTTGTAGTCTTGACTATTATATCACATGGCCTTTTGGTCGAGTTCGGGTAGTTGCCTTATTTTGTAATCCATATTGGTCAAAATATAATAACGGCTAGAAACTACAGTGTAGGTCATTTGCATTTTTTATTTTGCTGTTAAGATGAATTATTCTCATATTTATTGTACTTAAAAATAACTGAGATTTCCACAAATTGAAGAGAACGATATCAATTAGAGATGGTATCAAATTAAATTTGTCAGTTTAAATAGGTCACGAGTCATTCAGATGACCTATTGCCATCTGTTTTTGTCCTTTGTTGTGCGTAAATATTTGAACATTTTAAGGTTCTCTGAAACTGCTGAACCAGAATCAACCAATTCTTGCAGATAGCATTTATGAATGAAGAGAAAAAATTGAATTTAATGGTCCCTGGGGTTCTTGTCAGGGGTGTGGTGGGCTCCTGGGCATTAAACAAACAAGAGTGCCTTCTCCTCTTCTGTGTGTTAAGGCAAAAACTCTCTATTAAACATATACTGCATTACATCTTTTAAAAAATTCCTTCTCTGCCTCTGGGAAGTAAGAAGACAAACTTAGTGCATGGTTATGATGAGCAAGGTTGTCTCTTCAATAAATGTGAATTTCATGGCCCAAGGGCCGGGGTTCTATTAATAATATAGTAAAAATGCATTAAATCTTTGTAAACCTCTGCTTTTGGGTATTTGGCAAATAATTTAGTGCATGGTTATGTTTGGCAATGGTGCCAAATTGTGAATTTCTTGGCCCCACGGGTAAGAGGTTCTGGTGTTAAGACTGACAATATAAATCAGATGGAAAAATGCCTTTAAAATATCTTCTCGGCCATTTGATAATTAATAGACTAACTTTTTGCATGGCTATGATAAAAAAGCATGCCTCTTGCAAGATTATTTAATTTATAACCCCTGTTTTAGGGGTTTGGTGTTGGGCAGGTGCTCTGTTGAACGTAAACGGAAATTTTTTTTTCTTCTCTGTCCCTGGGCTTTTAGTAATTTTTATTACTCATGTACAAGTCTGCTTCTTCCACAATTGTGTGCAAGGGTGTTTCTTCCAAAATTGTAAGTTTTTCGACCCCTTGCTTTGGGGCTCTTGTGTTAGGGTGGGTCTTTATTGATTATGAAGTGAAAATGCATTAATTCTTTGAAAATCTGCTTTGCTCCTATGTATTAAGCAGATAAACTAATTACATAGCAATGATGAGCAAGTGTGCCTTTTCCAAAAATGTGAATTTCCTGTCCCGTAGTCCAGGGATTTTGGTGTTAGGTGGAACTGTGTTGAATCTATAGTGAAAACGCATATTTCTGTCAAAATCTCCTTGAAAAACAGAGTTCTAACCAGAGGTACTGTGAGCACTGAGCTCACTAAATGATACCCCCTGCCGCCCATATGATTATAATGGCAAAATCCATGTATGCCCTGGGAGACCCGAAATAAGTGTCATATCAAAAAGTAAAATAAGAGGTACACAATGGCACTATGTAACAAAGATTCTGTGAAAGTCTCATTAAATTTCATTCTGTGGTTTAAGAGGAGTTGCGGATAAGAGATAGGTACTCCAAAGCTTAACAGACGGACGGACGGACAGACAGACGGACGGACGGACACCCCGATCACTATATACCCTCCCACTTTTTTAAGCAGGGGTATAATAATCTTGTAATAAGCATGAGTATTTTTACCCTATTTTGGAAATTCTGGACAATTTGGTCAATTGTTCTGGTGTCAGCTGGGCAGGGCTCTATTAATTTGAATTCTGCTGAGAAAAATTAATTACCGGTACGTTTGCTATTCATCTATGATATGTAATCACTTCTAAACAATGTCATTGAAAGGTCAATAAAATAAGAGAACTATACGTTGTTTTTTTTAATAACATATCATACAAAAATACTTTCATTGTTTTTAGTGGTCACGTAGCATTGAATAATTAATAAATAAAAATGAGACAAAAATATAAAGATATTTTATCTTTGTATGCATCAAATGTTCCTCAAAAACCAAGAGAAGGCAACGTGAGGGGGAATGAAATGGGTTAAACAAAAGTGCATAAACACTGATATTTATTTCTAAGTTGCATGATGATAGTGGCAAATGTAAGATTTGTTGATGAGTACAAAACAATATATAGTTGATCCCAAACCATCTTCTTTCTCTTGTTCTTAGGTAACATGGATTCAGCAGCTATTTTCATATTATGTATACTTTTATGAACCTTTTTATTGTATTATACTCAGGTGACAACTAAGGCCCTTGTTTTTGTTGCAAGGCCAGAGCAAGGTCATTATCTTTTTTGGATAAAAAATTATGTTTTCATTAATAAGCTACCTACAATGTACTTCTTCAGTGTACTACTTAAAATTTTATCATGTTATTCTTTTGCGTAAAAACATTATACCACATACTGTTTATATCATAAGACTTCCAATTCAGATTTTTTCCTCTATAATTTTCTTAAATCTTTAAGGTATTATGTCGTGTTTCCTTATCGCCATTTAATTTTTTATTTTTTGAATGAATCAAGTCATATAGAGATACAAAAGGGAACAGAAACAAAAAGTATTGACCGTCGAATAAGACAGAAAGAACCGTTTAAATGATTCTTCGCTTAAATCTGTTTACAATAGCAACTTGATCTTGAAACCTGACAAGAATATCTCCTTAAAGCGGTTCAATCCTGAGCTTTTGACCTAATTTTTGTCTGGACCTTTATTTCTAGAATATTACATCATACTTAGGTTGTTACATTAAATTTGGATTCTTCAATGCAAGTTAAGCTACACTGTACATTCAAATAAATACTCAAGATTTAAGTCCAAACAAAAAGCATTAAGTGAGAAACTATCTTTTGTGGCGGAAAGTTTTTTAGAAGGAAATGATCAATTTTTCTCTTTCGAAGTATTTACCGTACTGTTAGGTTTGGATTCCTATGCAAGCTGCTCAATGAGTTATTTTGTGTAGTGAAATGTTTTACGCTGGTCCTGAAAAATTTATTAAATTACATTTTATGAATTCTATCACTTTATTGATAAATATAGCAAATATATTCTGAAATTCCAGGAAAAATTAGGCCCAATTTTAACTTATAAATTAACACTTATTTAGTGATAGCTGAAAATTTACATCATAGACCCCCACTTTTGATTTTCTTTTTGAATATATATGACAACTTTGATCTTTCTGGTTAAATTCGGTAAAAGTTTAAGACTTAAAAATAATTTTCTAGCTTATTCAATATTTTATGCCAGAAAAATGACAAAATAGTAGCAAGGTCAAATAATTGATTGTGCAAATTAATTTAAAACTTTGCACATTCATTGACCTTTTGACCTCCACGTCCGTGTTGTGTTTTGAATGCCGTAGCTTTTCACACACTTTATAAGCAAAATAAATGTTGAATGTAAAAATTCGTTGCATGACAGATTTTCTCACAGATACATGATATATAATACTCTTATTATTTCATTTACAGGACATTTACAGGAAATGGCTGGCCTGATAGACTGCTGTTGTTGGAACGGTTGGAAATGCACGTGTGCATGTGCAAGATAATAGAGATTAACAATCCAATTACCATTTTAACCACATGCGAGGACTACGATTTTGAGAAATGTGTATGAAAACTTAATGTGTCTTTCGGAAACGTTTAATGGTTATTTCCAATATTAACTAACGTATGCTTCTCCTTTTTTATGCCACAGCCTTAAACAAATGTCAGTTCTACATAATGTTTCAAAATAGTTCATAAAATGAAAATTCTTGCTTTGAATAAAAAATGTTTTATTCTTATGTTAAAAGTTCTTAGAATTGAAGATTTTATGAGGGCGCGAAGCGCCCGAAATGAAATATAAATTATATGATAATATTGAAGTGAGATATAATAATGCATTGACCTTCAATTCAACACTAAAATAACAGCTCTTTAAAGTATGACTACCTATAAATAGATAAAAACTACTCAGGTATGAAAACCTACTGCGCATGCCTCAGGTAAACCCCATCTGCTCGATAATCGATGACTTTCAATATGCGAGCCAAAACAAAGCAAAGAAAACTTCAAATGTTATTTTGACAGAATTTATAATAAATACACAACAAAGATAATTCTATTTAACACAGTAATCATCGAATTATTAAACATGAAGATCGGAATTGTAAAGCAATTATGTCCATCATTTTTAGTACACTTAAAAAACCACCATGCAGTTAAAATCCGGAAGGCATCGTGGCGTCGTGGCGTTTTATGGTACAGGATTATCCCCCTACAACATATACGATAAAAATAATTCAAATATTAGGTAATGCTATCAGGTATCAAGTAATAGAAAAAATGAATAAACATCTCCCACTGACCCAATAAACGGGTAAGGGTGGGAGGGAAATGCATTATTATATCTCACTTCAATATTATCATATAATTTATATTTCATTTCGGGCGCTTCGCGCCCTCATAAAATCTTCAATTATATTTCAAATATTTCCGTGAGATATTATAATGCATGTTTAAAGCCGAAAATAAAACTCACCAAATTCAAAATATTACGTGTATAAGACATATCAGACGAAGTATTACTTAAATAAAAGTTCTAAATGTTCGAGCATTTGACCAATCTGCTTTTGACAGAATTTCCTCTAAAGGTATTCCGGTATTATGCGCTCTACTTGAGACCATTCTGCACGAATGCGCCTGAAATTTTGATGTATCGATGCCTGCATCTAACATAACAGACTTTATCCAGTTGCTAATCGTTTGTGCAGAAACCCCATTATGGGGTTTTTTGGTTGCGCGGAGCAACGGATCGGGTTCAGTTTTGAGCTGCGATCTAAATGATTCAGTTCGTTTCTCGTAAACAGAGCAACAATGTACCACGCAGAGTCTTTCATTATCAATTTTATCGTACTGAACAGATCTACATGCATTGTTCATGTGAGATTTTGATAGACCTGGTAAATGAAAAAAAATACTATCACCCTTTCTTTCCATAAATCGGCGATCGAATCGAGCAATTTCCGAAACCCTTTTAGGAGTTCCTAGAGCAAGTAAAATGGTAATTTTTTTGCTCAGTTGTAAAATCGAAAGGTCGTTATCACAAGGAAAATCAGACAAATGTTTAAGAACAACATTAATATCCCAGGAAAAAACATATTTAGGTTGTGGAGGATCTTTAATTAATATTCCTTAAAAAGTTGTTTCACAACAGGGACCTGTCCGACAGAAACTCCATTCAACTGCGGTAACACTGAGGAAATTGCCGACCTATGAACATTAATTGTTCGGTATTTATAGCCCTGATAAAACATCCAAGCTAAAAAAAATCTAGAACAGAGGCCAAAGGGGCTGAAAAGGGATCAATTGATCGTTCCAAACACCAGCTATTCCATTTCGACCAGGCACTGTCGTAAGCAGATTTTGTACCTGGTCTCCATGCGTGCAAGAGTAGTTCTTTAACTTGGTTTGAAAAACCTTCTGACGTGTAATATCTCCTGATACCTTCCACCCTGCTAGTTGTAATGTGCTGTTGGCGATCAAAGGGTGAACTTCCCCCTGGGGAGACGTTAAGGTTCTCGAGCCCATGGGTATCAGTACTGGAAAGTCTATCGACATCTGAAGGAGGAGAGGATACCAAGGTTGCGTTTGCCATGTCGGTGTTACGATCACAACTTGGCACCTCTCCTCCCTCACTTTCGCTAGACAAGGCATTATCATGCAAAACGGGGGAAAAGCGTAACCTAGAATGTCCCTCCATGTCTGTAGCATCGCATCTGATGCCTGTGCATGAGGGTCTACCCTCCAGCTGAAATAAGTGTTCAGCTGGGGATTTGTCCTGTCTGCAAAAAGATCTACTGAACAAGGGCCCATTATCTTCATTAGATGACTGAATATCTGTGGATCTAATTTCCAGGAACTCGTGTCCTCGAAATGACGACTCTCCAAGTCTGCCTCTAAATTCAAGTAAATATTCCCCTGTTAGAGTTATGTCCCTTTCCAAACAACATTGCCAAATCTGACTTGCAAGTTCTATCAACTTCTTTGATTTTGTTCCCCCCATGTTGTTTATATAAGCTATCGTCACTTTGTTGTCCGACTGCAGTAGTACGTGCTTTTTTATGATTTTTGCATTCTGACAAATTGCACCCCATCCTAACAGACTTGCATCTGATTTGACGATGATGTTTGGCTGGGGGCGGACTAAAGCTCTCCCATTCCATACACTTATTTTTGTCGACCACCATATTAGTTCCTGTTTCGAATCCTCGTCTAATTGCACATAACTCCCTCCCGCATGTAAGGCTCTTGTTTTTAGTAACTGTAGACTTCTGTAATGGAGAGGAGAGGGTAGAACCGCTTGATTTGTAGCAGTTAGACGCCCTATTAATTGGGCTGGATCTCGAGCTGAGACAGACTGACGACTCACAAGATCTAAGCAGTTCTGTTTTATCTTTAGTACCTTTTCTTTTGGGAGAGAGAGGGTCATTGTTTCCGAGTTTACAGTGAATCCCAGAAATTCTGTTACATGCGAAGGGACTAGAACAGATTTTTTTCTGATTGATTAAAAACCCTAGGTTTTCTAAGAGGTAAAAAGCTGTTGATAGATCTGATTGAATGCCTGAGAGAGATTGGTTCATAATCAGAATGTCGTCTAGGTAAATCACCAGACGTATGCCCAAACGACGTAAAATTGCTATTGGAATTTTTATTATCTTTGTAAACACTCGCGGTGCTATTGCAATCCCGAATGGAAGGGATGTAAACTCCATTATTTTGTTTTTCCAAAAAAATTTCAGAAATTTTCGGAATTCCTCTGCCATGTTTATCGTCAAATACGCATCCTTTAGATCTAGTTTTACTAACCAATCTCCCTCCTCCATGAGATCTCTCAGCAACTGTACCCCCTCCATTTTGAAGTGTTCGTAAGGGAGAAAACTTTTCAGATTTCTTAGATTTATTACAGGTCTTATCTCGCCCCCTTTCTTGGGTACCAAGAAAACGTTGCTGTAAAATGAATCGCGTGTGGGAGTTGTCTCCCGTACCGCATGTTTTGACACTAATTTTTCTATTTCGGAATCTATCAATAACTGTTCCGCTGTTTTGAATTTGGATGGAACAGGCATTTGTTTCTGATAAGGATTTGATAATAGAGGAAGTTTTATTTCTTCGATCGACTGTAGGATCCAAGGATCCCGTGTAATTACTTTCCAGTTCTGAATGAAATATTTCACACGCCCCCCTACAGGCACTGACTGAGGGATAACTACAGCATTCGGGAACAGAAATTTTGACAGATTCCGATCGATGTCTGATAACTTTCTGTCTGTGACTCGCCTGACTCATTGAGTGTTTGGTTTCTTGGGAGGCGCTGTAAATTTCTGATTCGCTCCCTGACCCCTGTACTGTGGGTACTGTGCGAATCTCTGATTCTGAGTGAACTGCCTCCTGTCTGTCTGTCTACGACCCCCATACTGAAGGCTTGATGAGGGCCTCTGAAGAAAAAACTGGCGGTTTCTATCAGAAAATTGTCTTGTCTGAGACCAAACTTTCTTCTCATTACCATTAGACAAAAGCTGTTTTAATTCTCTGTTATCTTTGTTATCTTTAGCTAATTGTTTGAGAAAGTGTTTTCCAAATAAATCATTTTTACACTTTCCCAGTGATTTTTGTACCTCTTATCGGAAAGTACATCTACTGACTCTGGCATTGTTTTAGCTAAAACTGCTTTACGCCTATCAGTATTGTAAAGGAAATGAGAATTTCCTACAAACATAATTGCTCTTTGGACAAACTGAATTACATCAGAAGGGTCCATACCCTTGCCCGTTTTGCCTATTCGTTCTGCCTCGCTCCATAAAACGGAAAGTGGCCCTAAAGCATCTAGAATTCTCATCTGTGTATTGATTTTATTTTTCTCTAATTTGCCATTCCATTTTTTCCCCTTGAAATAAATTTTCTTGAAAAATCTATCCAAAGACAAACCCTGAAGCTTTTTTGAATTAGGTATAGGACAAATCTTTGGAAAACATTTTGTCTGTTCTTTTTATCGATTCCTTTAGTTGCGTACTTAGTAACAAAATTAAGTATCTTTTTAGAAATTTTTGGTTTAAATTTTGTGCTATCAGCGGAACACAAAAACAAATCAGAATCTGAATCAGACTCGGAACTAGAGCTTGACGAGCTTGAGGAATTAGAGGAACTAGAACTAGAGGAGCTGGAACTTGATTCATTTGAGGACCTGCTCTTTTTACGTTTTTTTTTTAGCTCGCCTGTGTTCTATTAGAAACGTCGCCAGACTTACTTTTTGCATTTCGAATTTGCTCCGACACCACTGCCGCCGATAATCATCCTCTGTTTTGTCCGCTACAGAGACATGTTCTACTTGAGAGTCCTCCGACTCATCTACCTTATTGTTATCACTCTCCTCCGCCTCTGCGGGTGAGCTTTCCTGTTCTTCATTACTTTCATGACGTGCCGGCGTTGCCTGTCCAGGACCCGGCGAACGAAGTTGGGCATTGGCCATTCGAACACGAAAACACGTGTACTCACTTGGCGAGCTGAATTGAAAGTCATCGATTATCGAGCAGATGGGGTTTACCTGAGGCATGCGCAGTAGGTTTTCATACCTGAGTAGTTTTTATCTATTTATAGGTAGTCATACTTTAAAGAGCTGTTATTTTAGTGTTGAATTGAAGGTCAATGCATTATTATATCTCACGGAAATATTTGAAATATAATTAAATTGAGTCCTTTGGGAACAAAAATGCCAAATGCAGGTTTCGTTAAATAATAATAATAT